CAGACAGACAGACAGACACACACACACACACACACACACACACACACACAGAGTATATATATAATTTAAATATAATATTTAAGTAAAACATTTCCTTGATGCTCTTTAGTAATGTAGGAATAGATGAGAAAAAGTGAATCAAACAGCTGAGAGGCAAACAGCAACTGGACAAAAAAATCAGTAAAAGCACATGTGTTCTAAGTATAAAGAGAGTATTTTATCATCTCTTCTTCTACCTATAAATCCTGCTTGTGGCAACAATCCCAGTATTAGCTCTACATTACCACAGAATTGAAATACCTTCAGAGAGAAGAAAACTAAGTCCCATCCTAGAATTATGCCTGTTACTTACCACCTTTGATTTTGAAGGAATAAGTATCAAGATGTTAGATTAAACTCTGCAAAGTAGGTGAAGTAAACAGTATTAACTCTGATAACTGACATAGGAGTTAACATTAGGAATTACAAATGACTCAATGAAAGTAGAACAGGAACAAAACAGAATGTACTCCAGAGGTAAGGGAGTACCATTTCAAAGGACTGATTTGTTTTATTAGCAGGAAACTCATGACATGCTTGTACCAGCCAGTGAAAGAATGTTCTTCTGGACTATTCAACAAGTTGAGAACAATTTTTTGTGTAAAAAAAAAAAAAAGAACTTCTAGGGAAGATAATATTATAAATTTTATCTTATTGCAATGGAAACTAAAAGAATTGTACCTTATGCATACACTGAACAGTATGCTATATTTGCCTCCAGTTGCAATTTCAATTGAGGTTCCTATATATTTGATTAAATAGTTATATACAAAAGCAGTTACCTAATTCAAAAACATAATTCTGTGAGTAAACAATTTTCTCTCACATAGCTAAAGGAAAGTTTGGGCCATCAGAATGAATGTGTGAATGTGTTTGTTCTGTGGAGCTGGATTAATAATGTACTTGAACAGTCATATTCCCCAACAGAAAGCAGCAGTTAAAGATCAGAACTTTCTGTGCCTAGTTAATGGCTTCTGGCAAGAATTTAAATGTTAGAAGTTTGCAGGCAGTTGGTGTCTATTCTGCTATACAGACAGCTAAATATTGCTCAATCTAGCAAGTCCATTAATCACTTGAAATATTAAAAGATCTTCCCTTTTAAGGAAGTAATACCTAAAAACGTGTACAAAACTTTTAAGCTTACAAACCAATATGGTGTAATGGATGTTCACTAGGCCCAAGAGGGCAAGTTCAAAACAAACCTAAGCCATGGAAGTTTACTGGATGACTTTGGGTCAGTTGCTATCTCTCAGTCCAACTTACTCCTCAGACTTGTTATGGGGAAATAAATAAACAAGCAAGCAAGCTATGTATCCTCTCTTGAGCTCCTTTAGAAAAAAATAATTATCCTTAAATAGTTATTCATGTACGAAAGCATTTTTAAAAAATGGTTCTTTTTCTGTCCTATCCTTTTTTATTTTTTTAATAAAAATTGGTAAGTGTGATATATTGTTTAAAGAGAACAGGAAATGTTTAGGATTTAAATCAAAAGGTGTATGTTTCCCTTAAATGAAATAGGTAACTTTCATAAAGTAATATAGATCATTAAAAATAACTTTATATTTTGTCTCATATAGAATAGCAACCTTATATGAAAGAATAATTTACTTCAAGAGGAATAAAAAACATGCAATGATGTTCATGTGGTTATGGAAGTATAGAATTCAGTTTTGTAATTATAAACAGTTAACAAATTTGACACTTCAGACATCTTAGAATACTCTCTTCCAATATTGTTAAATGATGCTGTTATACTTTATCCATAAAAACTTGTTTTCTATACTACTCATGGGGCCAGTTAATATAATAGTGATGCATTTAGCTACTAACATTGTTTTAACCAGAGATTGTGTTTTATTCATCTTTCAGCTAATACCTAGCTCTTAGCGGTACTAATAAAAGTTTTTCCTGAAGAAAAATTTAAAAAAAAGAAGATATAAAGTAAGGATATAAGAAAGTCAAATAAAGGAAGTCCTAATGAGTAATTTTTGCAAATATTTGTAACTCCCAAAATTAAATATTTCAGATACAGTGGTACCTTGGGTTACGAATGCCTCTGTTAACGACCTTTTCGGGTTATGACCAGCTCCGGCCACAAAAATTTACATCGGTTTGCGAACTCCGCCCCGGGGTACGAACAGGATACGTGGCCATTTTCCCTCCCGTGACACAGTCCGTGGCCATTTTTCCACCCCTGACACGTGGTCCGTGGCCATT